CCATGAACCCTGGACCACCAAAGCAGAGTGCGCTGAATTTAACCACTACGCCACGGGGCTGGCCCCTAAAGCTTCTCCCTTAAGCACCATAATTCTATATTTTATAATTATTTTGGATAGAAATTAATATATGTATTATCCATATCACTTTCATAAGCAGGATGTCATCAATGAAAATTTAATTTTTGCTTGATGAGAGTCATCCTTAACATAAATTACGCACTATCCTCAAGGGCCATACAGATATATATGGTTGCTTACTTCGAGCACAAAATGGTCCCAGAATCCTGTACATGGTAGTATTGTCTGTTCTGTTTTGTTTCCTCAATCTTAGCTGACAGTTCTTGATGCAATAAGTGCCCACCTTTGCTAACATTAACTCTATCTAATTTACCTATTACCTGCTATAAGCCTGGAATAATTTCAACAAGCTTGATTAAGTAAAAGTCAGATACTAATAAGTGTTTGTAGTCCTTTGGGCAGAGTGAAGTGATTTTTGACATCTTTATACTGTTTTTTTGGGGGGAGAAATATAGTTATCTTTAAAGTACACAGTTGTGTTTTTAAGGATTTAAGTTGTTGAAAGCCTGATCTGCAGATATGTGGGCCATTTCTACACACAATAAAAAACAATTCACAGCTTAAAAGAAGTAATTTTAAATGTTCAGAAACATTTACTTATAGACTAGATAGTGAGGCCACCTTGTATCTCACTGAAATGACTCTTAAGCATAGTGTTATCCAACATCTGTTAAAAATAAATAAAAACCTTAGCAGAAAAGAACTTACCATTGCTATCCACAGAACAACATATTCGTCTACAAAATTATTAAAGTACTGGTCTAAAAATAAAAGACCTGGGCCAAAAAAGACAGTGTCTTGAAGATACAGTTCACTTTTGGTCATGTGAGCTATCTATAAAAAAGAATAAAAAAATACTTTCATTATTAAATTTTAAATGTTTTAGCTTTTATTTTTAGGACAGAATTTATTGTAACTTTAATTCACTATTAAGACAAATAAGGATAAAGAGGTCATTTAATCTCACATTTGATATGGGAATACTGAATCTAAAACTTCTCAAATTCATAACTGGGTAGCTTATTAAAGCTTCCAGTATTTAAATTCCTTGATATCAGAAAGTTATAATTGATAATTACAGCTAAACAAATAATTAAAAGGACTTGCTATAAAGTAAGAATCTCCCTGCATATAACATTAATTCATTCCCAGTTTTACTTGGAGCACAAACAGCTAACTATTTATTATGATGATAACACCATAAAAAACCTACCCATTGTATGAAATAGTTTCCAGCTTGGTGTTTAAGGACCAAGTACATTATTTATACCATGAATTATAAACTAAAAGAATTTCTTACCACCAATTTTTGTGAGACTTTAGCAAAGACACATCCAAACATTAGGGTATAAAGACAAGGATGCTTTTCGAACACATTAGTTGCTGACTTTTTATAGATCATTATTGCCAGTATAATAATTATTCCTATGTGGAGTCCAGGTGACAAGACACTGGTGCCCTAAGGATAAAGCAGAAAATCAGCATCACATTTTAAGATTGCATTTATTACAATGCAAACATTTTCTGAGCATCTATTTTGTGCTAGGAACTAGAGACCTAAAGAAGAGTATGATGTAGTGTATGGTCTAAAGGAGTATATAGACCTTAGCTTTGCTTTTCAAACTTCCACAGAACCCTAGGGTTACACAGAGGTAATACAGTGTCACAGATATTTGATTCCAATTTTATATATACACACATCTTAAACTAATAACCACTAAAAATAACAATATGATTTATTCTATCTATACCAAATTTTACCATGCTGAAGGCTATCAACACTTGGATTCCCAAGTTAACATATCTTTGTGCAGATACTGAAATAAAGCTTAACCTGCCAATTTTACAAAATATCTTAATCACTGATTAGGAAGAGTTTAATTCTGCCCTGGTCTCTCTCTATACAAACACCCTCCCCCCCTTTTTTTTTGCATTTAAACTGCAAATGCCGTCTTATGTAACACTGTACAACCCGACCATTACATTTTTATCTACGTGAAGCAGGATTCTCTCAGCACTGCTTATTCTAAACAAAGTATTGAAATAAATTTGGTATAAAGACTTATTAAATCTATAGCCACCAATTTAAATGTGTTCATTAAAACAGCCTTATTCTTGAGTTTACATGTTATAAATGAGAACTTAATATAAAATTACACTAATAATACTATAAATACTATAAAATCATACATGTAATAAAACACTATGTATACTACACAGTAATAAATTATAAAAATTTAGACTAATATAATAGTGCTTTTATGTATATTATGGTTCTGTAGATTTTATTCAAGAAAATCTGTTGCAAAAAAGTTGGAAAACCACCAGTTGAAGAGTTTAAATCAACTACTTCTTAGCCATAGTGTTTGATTTCTTATCTTCCTTCAAACATGTAATCAATTATTTCTTAGTA